TGAATTCATGAAAAAGTCTTCTAAAATTTCCCCCTTTTATGTCTGTTATACATTTATACTTTGATTTTATCATGCTTAAACCAAAGAATAAGCCAAAAACTGCTCCAACTCACTCTTTCAAATGGCATTAGTTTTAAAGATGTGTGAGGGTTTAGGACAAACTGTCAGATTTTAAATGAAACACAAATATTCAAATGTTGCTTTTCCCCTTCCATTCAAGTAATAAAAAGCAAGATGATGTAAACTTATTCAGAATTAGAACTGTGAGGCAAGATTAACTTATTACCTTTAAAAAGAACTTTACTTATTACATATGGGTATGGGGGAATTAGGGGTTGCAGAGAAGAGTAGCAGGTGCAATAAAATGATTAGGTTTGCAGGATAATAAATTCCCAAATGACTTATATTAATAGCAGGAAATGATGGAAATGTGCATTCGTTCATCTAGTTCAGTCTCATATACCCCCTGACACTAAATAAATATTAACTGATAATGACATTAGATGTTTCTTCCGATTTAATAAGTATATATTACTGTCACCCTAGTCTTCAGTAAAATAAAAGCTGTTCTGTATTGCTGATAGTGCCCTTTCCCCCTTTATAAGTTCAAAGTCAATTATTGTTTTTATATGCCCACATAACTTTATCACTTAACTTTAAAAGACACTATGTAATAAAAACAGTTATCTGTAGAACTCAATGCTTAATGATTGGCATGGAAAACTTCCATCTCCATAAACTGATAATTATGAAAATAACTGTGTTATTTCATGACCCCTTTAAAAAGAACAAAGTTTGATTCACTATGCAATTTTCAGTCCAAATCTATCACCAATATAACTCTTCAAAAATGATTTGACTAACAAACACAATTATGGTCCAGGTTATGCAAAGATTTGTTTTAAATTCTACTAGTAATAAATGTCCTAGAATATAGGAAGATGATCTATTGTCAGAATAGGTGCTTTGAATTTAATGCCTGGTTATGATGGACCACACCTAGGTATTCACACAAATTCTGACCAGAGATGTACAACTAGGAGATGCTGGCCAGAGCAAAGGGTATAGAATGAAGCCATGAAACAGTTTTTCTTTTAGCTAAATCTAGCGGCCTGTATGGCTATAAGTAATATTTTCAAAATGGCACCCTATCATAGTCTCAGCTCCCCAAATTGAGATCATATTACAAACTAATTAGTCCATCCCTAAACTTGCCTTGATAGTATATAACTTTTCTCTCCATACTAAAAGAGAATTTTTTTCCACCTTAAAAAAAAATAGAAGGCTATCAATTTGATGGCTCAATTTTTGCCACCTAAAAATCTTAATTTGCTCTTTATTTTGATAAAATAGGCCTTTTTTGTAATGAATGCTGGAAATCTGATTCCTTGTTTATCTAATAGTTAATTTCCTTATAAGGAATAGTAAGCAATCACTGTGATTTACCTTACATGTCATATCTAAAAATCACTATACGCATTTGGAAAAAAAATCCTATCAGTCTTCATTTCCTAAATAACACCAAACTTTTAAAAGACATACATAAGTACACGTGCATATGTATATCTATATGAATTTTTAAACCCTGAGAATGAAGGAAATCCTCTAAATTAATATTTGTTAAAATTATAGTACCACAAAATTATACAAGCCATATTCTACTGCAATGAATTCAAGCTATCAAGTTTCTTATTGTATAAAAATACTGCCTGAAATTCATGACCTATTACTTGTCAGATATCTGTTATGTTATTCAGAGCAAAGGCATATGACCTAGAGTTATATTTTTATTTAGTTTTGAATTTTTAAAAATTTTGCAACAAACATCACTTGGTGTTTACCAAATCAAAGTAACATCTTTTTTTTCTTCCTGGAGTATTCCCTATTGAAAGGCATTATAGTATCTTAGTCCCTCAATGCACACACAAGCCTTCTCCCCTTCCCTCCTGGGGCCTGGCTACTGGGTACAGAATGTCCACCAGTTCATTTATTTTTGGAAATGTTTTGTTCCTCAAACAGAATGATAAAAAGCCCAAATAAGCCTATCTCAATCTTGCTGGGGAAAATATATGGCCAGCTTCCAAAAGCTACTTCTCCTACATTTCCCAAGTTCAAACCTTGAAAACGCAGAATCCGTATAGTGGATCAAATACCAGACTTGCAATAAGGACAAACTGTGCTCAAACTCCATATCCAACACTTTCTAGATGTGGGATTCTGTTCATTTAACCATTCTATGCCTCATTTTCCTCATCTGTAAGATGAGGGAGCTGAACCTAAGGTCCCTTTCAATTTTAAAGTATAATCCTATGATGACTCCATGTCAAAAATTCAAAATAAGGGGAAAAGGCACAGAAGATTCACTAGAACTTGTCAACATTCCATATTTATTTGTCTTGCCACAACCTACTAAAAACAAAATGCCTAGAAAGCAACATTTTTCCTTAGACACATGCCAAGTTCATATGCTGCCAAATGTGTAGTCTCAACATAGTATCAAATGGGTTCAATATCTAAGGTTGTTTGCAACAATATTTCACAAGCTTAAAAACAGCATTTCCTCTGTTATCTTGTTACAGAATTTCTTTTTAAGGAAGGACTGTTAGTATAGTCTTTTCTCTCCAAGGCAAAAGCTGAAAAAACTTGGAAAGGAGTCTCTTGATACAGTAAGAGGTTAAATCTTAAAATCTTCCCCAGCTAAATCTGTTTTCCTATTATACCAGTATTTCACTGATCTGGAGGCCACTTATTTGGCAACAATACAGCAGTGAACCATTAATCATTACATTATCCATAAAGCACTTGTTTTTCAGCTCTAAATTCTATGATTCCATGAACCAGAAAGTAATGCAAAAAAGCCTCTGAGCAATCCACACAGGCATCACTGTCTATGTACTGGAGCACCTAAACATTATGCTCATAGAAGAGCCCCTCTGGTTCTCATTTACAGACTATTTATCTTTAGTTTGTACACAATTCCAATAAGCTTGCTTAATTGGTTTCATAGCCCAAAGCAGGTCAGAACCATTAAATTAGAAAAGAGAAGGTAGGGCCTAGCTGGTAGCAGGCACACCGGAAGAAAAAAAAAAGACAAGAAGTGACAGCTTGATAGTAAGGGAAAGGATAGAAAAAAGTATAGACAAAAACTAAAAATTTAGAAGCACAATTCAGAGCTTTACAGTATGGGACAAAAACAGCCCTATGTTACCGAAGGATACTACTATATTGCATCAGATCATAACATTTTATTTTTATAACGACAATCCTATGTTATTAAAAATTATATTCTAAGAAGTCAGGTAGATTTAGAAAGCTTTCCACTAATTTTTTTTTAAAGTTTGGACATTTAAAGAAGTAGGCTTCAGTTACGTAGAAATTTTATCTAGAATACACATTATGCCAGATAAATTAAATGCTACTGTATTCTTGCTGTGCGATTCTTTGTTAATGGGGGGGCGGAGAATAAACATCCTTTAATAAGTGATAATTTGGATCATAGCCTCCTAAGGAAAAAAGCTACTGTGATTTATAGTAGTACTTTTAGAATACAAACATGAACTGGTTTGGGGTGGAGAGGGAGAGGGCATCTGATAAATTGAACAAATATGTATTAAGCACACACTCTATGTTGGCTGTACTAGCGATATAGTGATGCCTTTGAAGAGCTTATAACATACTAGGGAAGTGAGACATCTAAAATAACTATAATACAGAATTAATAAGGTCATAGATCTACAGTTGGAAGGGAGCCAAGGGGCCACTTCAGCCAATCCCTAATTTTTATAGATGAGGAATCTGAGGTTCGGGGGGGGGGGTAGAGTGATTTGCCCAGATTTACACAGGAGAGAAGGCTGAGATTGGAAGCAAGGGCTCCTTCTACTGCTCCAAGTAATAATATAATGAAATGTGTAGAGGAAGTCACACATCAAGGCATAAGAGATTCTGTGTGGGAAGAACTGTTCCCAGCTGAGTGAATCAGAGAAGGCTTTATGGAGAGGGTAGTAACTGGGCCAGGCCTTAAAAAAAGCTGATGTGGGGAAAGTATGTTCAAGAAATAAACAAGAGAACATGCATTAATATGTCCAAAGGCAGGAGATATCAAGATGATGGAAGGAACAAAGTAATCTAATCTGGTCTTCATGTAGATAACATGAATAGAGTAGTGGGAAGTAAAGCTAAAGATAGGTTCAAGTCGGATTGTGAAATGTTTGTAAGAAATGTATATTTTATTTGGTAGACAATGGAAAGTTCTTTGGTCCTGCGTATTTCAGTACATTACTTTGGCAATCTTGGGAAGAATGGGTCAGAGGGAGATCTACAGACCAAAACACTAGTTAAGAGTCTGGAGTCCAGAAGTATAGTTAGGACGGAGGTGGGATGGTGGGAGATGTAGGGGGGTTCTTAACCTTTTTGTGTGTCATGGACCCCTCTGGACTCCTTATTAAATAATGTCTTTAAAAGCATTAAATATATACAATTACAAAGGAAATTAAAGGCTAGTAAAAATAAATACTTTTTTCCCCCCCTACAAACCCCAGGTTAAGAAACTCTGAGTTAGGAGGCCATTTATTGGTACACATGAGAGCTGATCAGGGACTTAATAGGAATAGTGGAATTTTAAGTGGAAAGGAAGGAATGGATATTATTATGATGTTGTGGAGGTATATAGTCCTTAGTCCTTAGTAATTCACTGGAATGTGGAGTGAGGGAGAGGCAAATGTCAAAGATGACCTGGGGAAATGAAAATTGCATCACCAAAAATACGAAAGTTGTGAGGAGCAAGCTTTCCCTAGTTGGGGAAAGGACATTTAACTATCTGAAAGAGCAATATTTTCACCATAATATATTAAAAGTCTTTATAGTACAACTCTAAAATAAAATAATTTTACTCAACTTTAAAAATTTAATTGCATTATCTGTAAAAGAAATAAAGGACACCTGATCCACTTACTACAAAATGAAATGATTAATTAGAATAATTGTTTTTTCTTCCCTTTTAGGAGAGAATTCTACTTAAGCCAAAATTTCAAACACAATGAAATAGCATCCTTGGATTACGTAAAAGGTCAGCAGTCTGAATACATGGATCCTATCTAATACCAAACAACAGGTGAATTTTTTTTAATGCAACCTTCTAAAAACAATTTCTGAAAAAAAATTGATAAAGTTAGCTGACAAGAGGTACGATTTTATTAATTAAGCACAAATCATAAGAAAATAAAACCTATCAAAAAGTAGTATTTCCCAAATAATGGTGTTTTTCATACTGAAATTCAGCTAACCTCTAATACTTACAGAAAACAATAAAATAAGATTTAGTGATGAAAGGGACCCTTAGGGACCAGTTAATTCAACAGCTTCATTTTCTTTTTTTCAAAAATACATTTTACTGATGCTTTTGTTTTTACATGAGTCATCTCCTGCCTCCCTCCAGACTGAATCTTCCTTTGTGACAACAAAAAAATAACTAAGCAAGAATATGCAATACAAAGACCACATCTGATAATGTATGCAACATTCTATTATAGCTATTCCTCACCTATATTGTGGGAGGAGGAAGTATGTTTCATTACATTTTCTGAAACTGTCACTGTTTTGTCATTATGCTTTTTCTCTTCATTACCCTGCCCATACCTAATCAGTTGCTAAGTTTCATCAATTCTACCTTCAAATTACCCACACCCACTTCCTTCTCTCCATTCAGCCAGCTAGTACTCATCACCTCTCACCTGGACCACTATAATAGCTTTCTAAGTGTTCTCCCTGCTTTCAGTTTTCTTACCTCTTCCAACTCGTCCTTCAAACAGCTGTCAAAGTGATATTTGTAAAGCACAGGTCTGAGAAGTTTGTTTACTCTGCTCCAAAAACTTCAGGCATTCCCCTTTGTATCTATGGTCAAATCCCTCTGCCATTTAAAACCCTTCACAGCCTGGATCCAAACCATGTTTCTGAATTGATTTCACATTACTCCTCTTATGCACTTAGCCAAACTGACCTACTTCCTACCTTCTATTCAACATAGGACATTTCACCCCACATGTGTATGCACAGGCTATTCTCTCCTCTGTGCCTTGAATAAGCCCCCGTCTTCTCACCTGCACCTCTTGGAATCCTGAGCTTCCTTCAAGGCATAGCCCAAGCACCACCTCCTATAAAAGGAAGCTCATTCTAGTTCTTTCACCTAGAGTATTTTCCTTTTACTCCCAAAGTACTTCATACGTGCTTCGTTTCGATTTATCGGCGTATATGGTGTTTCCCCTCACAAACTGTAGACCCCTTGGAGGCAGTTTTATTTTTGTCTTTGTATCCTCAGTGTCTGGCATAGTACCTGGTACATAGCAGTCACTCAATAAAGAGAGTTCAACTTTTTATTTTACATTGTTATAATCATGTCTCATTTTGTTTATTTTGCTTTGCATCAGTTCATACAAATCTTTTCAAGATTCACTGAATTTCTCATATTTTCCCTTCTAACTGTACAATATGTCATTATAATTATATACCATAGTTTTTCCAGCCATTCCTCAATCGATGGGCATCCACTTTGTTTCCAGTTCTTTATAACCATGGAGAGTGCTGATATGAAAATCTGCAACTTTCTCATTTTACAGAGGAGGAAATGGAGGCCCAGAGAAGTTAAGTAACTTACCCAAGGTAATACAAATATAGAAGTAGAGAAGAGCCAGGGTTTAAACCTAGGTCCTTTTTTCCACTACACAAAAAATCAATTTGAACATCTTCAAATTTATAAGTTAACAGAATTATTTACATTTCCATTTAGACAATATGTTTTTACTCCCTAACATAATGGGATCATAGATTTACAGCTGAAATGAACCACAGAAGCCATCAAGTCTAAACCCCTCATTTTACAGATAAGGAAACTGAGGTTAAGTTAGGGAATTCCTGAGGATCATGTGGGTAGTATGTGAAGTGGGATATGAATCCAAGACCTATGCCTTTCAAAAACCACTATATCCTTTTTCTAAGTACTCCATAAGAACATTCAGCAATTAATTAAGGTGATGTCTAATATTCAAAATCAGTAACTAAAACTAATGATCTTCACCACTTCTAAGTAGCAAAAGGAAGAACAGCAAAGACATGTGGTGGTGAGGGAAACAAGGGTCTGGGTAATTTACTTTGGAAGGTCTTATCTTCAAATGAGATAAGTATATCATGCAACCTTCTTCCCCTACTTTTCTCTCACTTCACAGTCCCATTTGATCCTCTTAAGAAAAAAGGTATTATACTTTGAATTTTTCAATTGGAAAGTGCTGGATTCTTGTCTCTGACAACTCCAGAATAGATGCATATGGACCGATGTTGGACTCCCTGACCAAAGGATCCAAATTCTAAGGTTAAAATGGGAACATACTGCTCAACAGAATCTGGGCTGCATATATGTATTCTCTAGACACCACCTCTTGCTTTTCATTTACTAAAGGGCAGATCCTTGGTGGGCTGCCTACACACCCTTCTGCTGATCCTTATCCCTATACTCCACACTAATTTTACCCTGGGCATCCAATTTTGGGAGTTAAACCTCAATTAACTTGGGTAGCATAAAAACACTTAAATGAAATGACTGAGACCTGCAAAGGAAAGGACACTGATAGATATACACTAGTAACGATGACAACAAAAACACAGAACCTGGTCAAGCCTCTCTTTTTCACAGCAACAATTTCCCACTGGCCAGCCTTCCCAGGCTGAAACACTGGAGGGGAAGGGAGGATTCTCAGCTCAATTCCCCTTTATTCAACCACCACGTGACAACTTCCATCATACTTCATCCAAACCTAGAAGATCTAGATAGGCCCAGCCTCCCTGATTAAAAAACAAACAAACAAAACCCCCCAAACCAAACACAGATTCCTTAAAGCTGCTAATTTTTAAAAGGGGGACTTTCATAGCCTAACAGTGCTTTAACCACTATATCAGTAATATGACTTTCAAATTCAGGATTTGGTTCACTATGAAAAACAAACAATACACAGGGTGTGGAACTGCTTCCTGATTGTTTCCTTTAAACCTTGAAGCCTCAAGAGCTTTTTAGACATGTTTTCCCTCCAAACTCATAAAAGCTCCTAGGCAATTTTGGAAGCACTGGAGACAGCACGTGTGTGCAGATAGACTAGGAAGAGGGGAAGAAAAAAGGGAGATGAAGGGAAGATATTTTTCAAAGGAGTGGGCATTTTTTCCCAACTCGAGGAAATCTTTCCACTATAAGAGGCCTCATGACTGAACAGGAGGCCTCAGGACTCCACAGAAAGAAGTGGCCAAAGAAAAGAGGTAGGAATTCATGGGAGAGGTATCAGATAGTTTAGTATAGGCAAAATTAAGTAAAGAGTTAGCTCTACCTACATCTCATACTGTGAGTAAAATTATTTTTGCTGTAGTAATATGAGTTATCTCCAGGTGAAAGAAAAGGAGTTTATTCTAGGAAACAAATTTGCTAAATGACTACTATTATAGAAGACATAAGCATTTAAGATAGAAAATTAAGGAGACACCAAAGAAAAGCCTATGATAATATGCCCATGCTACATAAGCCCCCTTCCTACTGGACCAAATCTTGAAGTTACCTGATAACCCTTTTGTATCTACTTTAAGAGTCCTGACATTTTGAAACACCTAGTACACCTCAGGAAAGAGAAGGAACTCATCTACTGAGCAGTAAGGAAGATTATGGCTCCTTATACCTGTAATCATTGGAGAAAGAGAGAGGTACAAGTGTTTTATTTTGGTTTTACTGGGGGGGGGGAGGTAGGTACTGTAAAATGGAGTACTCTCTTTCCCTATTTCTCACTTGATTTTTTTGAAAAGGAAGACTGCCAGGAAATGACAGAAAAAATCTAGAGAACCCAGGGGAAAAGAAAAATTTTAAATAAAATACAAAAATGGCAAAGTTAAAAAAGTAACAAAAATATCTGAAGCATATTTGAAAGTAAAAATCTATAACATTTCATAGAATATTCTGGCCTATGTTAATTCAACTAAAGGAAATTGGTCATTTTTCCAACTCATTTCTTTGGGTTAGGGCTCTTGCTAGAAAAAAGCCAAAACGGGTTGTATTAATACAATGAATGGTTCTCAGAATAGTTAAGTCTCTTTTGATACATATATAACATTCTGCAAATTTTCACTGTCTTAATACACTCCACATTCATTAGTTTTATCAGGGTTATCAGTTCTCAATTATTCAGAGCCAGTTTATTTGTGAATATCCTCCCTCCCCCTCACCATTCCTCTCATTAGCATCTTGAGGGAGTGATCAGGTGAGAAGTAATTAAGACATCAAAATTAATATTTTTCAAACTCTTCAGGTCCATTAAATATGCTTTGGAGGGAGGGAACGGAAGGGAGGAAACTAAACTATCTAAAATCAATCTTTTGCATTTTCTTTACATTACTTTTAGTTTATCCACTGTTGTTTAAGAGTAAATTTTTGAAAGTATATCTCCAAAAACCGCTTTAAATGAAAAAGATTTTGCCTATAATACAAAAGCCAGAGAATGTTAAAGATGAAAAGGACCTGTGAAATCATCTCCAACTCTCTGATTTTATATGTGAGGAAAGTGAATTTATACCAAGTTTAAAAAACAAAATGAAGCAGGGAACTACATCTGATTCTAAAGAAAAAAATATTTTACTTTGCTCCTCTTAAGAACAAGCCTTTATATAATCTACAATTCGATTTACTGATTTTCTCCACAATTAAAGCCTAGCTTAATAAGAGATGGCAGGTTCCCCTCCTCTTCAACAAAAAAAATTCTCATTACAGATTAAAATATTTTACAGCTCAAGTAAAGGTTCAATGACCTTTTAAAAATTGACAAAAATAAAACATTTAATATAATCTCTATCTTATAGAGACAGTAATAAGAGACAGCCTGGTATAAAGGACAGGGAATTAAGAACACCTGGATTTAAGTTCCTCTTCTGAGATATATTAACAGTGTTACTTTAGGTGAGTATCTTAATGTCTCATTCCCCCCCACCCCCACTCCCATTGTAAGTTGCAGAGCAGCAACAGAATTCATAGGGAGTGGCAGTTTCCTTACACTGGATTCCATAAATAAATGAGACACAATAAGTGGTTCTCAGAATAAGAATTCTCAGAATAAGAAATTATGTGTCAGGCTTAGTAAGACTGAGAGGTCCCTTTGACTGTGAATGTTAATAGTCCAACATGAAAGAGGAGCCCCAAGGTGTATTTGGGAGGGGTCCCAGTGGATTTCGACTGGAAGATTTACAGAAGTTCATAACCTAGGGTTAGGGCCAACAGATCCTATGAGTGTGAGGCAGGTCCCTAAAAATGGCCAAAAAGGGATACACGTTGTGGCTGTTGAGGCCTGGATGGGGTGTGGTCTGGAAGTGGTCCTGGGTTATAAAGGTCGGTATTCCTGTGGAAGTTGGCCTTGTAAAGCTTTGGCTACGGTGTCTGTTGCTCTAGGATTGTGGCAAACAGTTTCTGGGGAACAAGGATCATCACTCAGAGTTGTGGGTGGTGGCTGGAAGGGGTCCTGAGCTATAACTCTCCATTCCAGTGGTAGAATGTAAGCTCCTTGAGGACAGGGACTATATTTTTTGTTTTGTCTTTGTCTCCTCAGTGCTGAAGGACAAACAACAACAGCCTAGCACATAGCAGATATGTTTGTTGCATTAGAAGACAAAAAACATTTTTTAAAAAATAGTGTAAAAAAAGGTGATATGACTATAAAATAAGACACATCCCCTTTAATATCTACATCCAAAAGAGGTAACATGGTATGGTAATGTTAGATGGACTTGGCTCTTGATAGGTATGTGAGCCTGGGCAAATCACTTAATTTCTCTAAGTCTCAGTTTGCTCATTTGCAAAGCAAAGGTAGTAATGTTTACATTAGTTACTTCATAAGGTTACTACAGTAAAGAAAGTGCATAAACTGTTAAGATGTTAAAGAAATGATTTACTATTACTATCTATAAGAGTATGGGTTGGCATACACATACATGTTTTACACGGCTTAGGTTTTCGAGCAGTTCTTTTGCATTTATTTTATTTTTGTAACTATTCCTGTAAAAGTAAAGCAAAAAAACCCACCCCAAAACCTTCCCTTTTAAGTTCACTTTTAAAAAGCTACCCTTAAATTTCATGTACTTTTTTTTAGGAGGTTTAAACAAATATTTGTTCAAACTATGGTGAAGAGAAAGTGCCTGGAGGATAAAAAATGAACCAGCTGGATGCAACAAAGTCAGGATTTTTAGGGTGCATTGGTATTTGCATTTTTATCTTCATTTTTCTTTATGTGAGGAATACGATTCCAGATGAATCAAAAGAAGAACCAACCTACCCAGAATCGACAGACTGTGGCTTTTATCCAGATGAAATATGTTCAGCCCTTTTTGAAGGGAAAGGGGCTGCCCCTCAAATTGGACAACTCTGTCAGCAAAATACTCACCAACCTGAAATAACCCCTTGCCTAGGGACACCAGGCAGCTGTAACTGTTCTCTGATTTTTCAGGGGCTACATTTCATAACAAGATCCCTGTCTGCAGAAGAGGGGAATTTCTCCTTGGCATATATCATAACCATTCATAAGGAATTAGCTATGTTTGTGAAACTTCTCAGAGCTATTTATGTGCCTCAGAATGTTTACTGCATACACATTGATGAAAAATCACCCCAGAATTATAAAACTGCAGTGACAAACCTGGTTGACTGTTTCGAAAACATTTTTATTTCATCAAAGAGAGAGACTGTGATTTATGGTGGATTTTCAAGACTACAGGCAGACATTAATTGTATGAAAGACCTAGTAAGCTCAACATTTCGGTGGAAGTATGTAATAAACCTTTGTGGGCAGGATTATCCAATCAAGACAAACAAAGAAATCATACAATATATCAAAAGCAAATGGAATGGTAAAAATATGACTCCAGGAGTAATTCAGCCTGCACATATGAAATACAGGACACACCAAAGTTACAAAGAATATGTTCATCAGGGAAATGCTTATGTTTATCCAACTAAAAAAGAAAAAAAGGATCCCCCGCACAATTTAACGATATACTTTGGAAGTGCTTATTATCTACTCACTAGGCAGTTTGTTGAATTCACACTGACAGATGTCAGGGCAAAAGACTTGCTTGAATGGTCCAAAGATACATACAGCCCCGATGAACATTACTGGGTTACACTGAATAGATTAAGAGGTAAGATGAATGCTGGGCTGTCTGGGTTCTAGGGGAACAAGAACTGATAGTAGGAAGCAGTTCAGCTCCAGCTAAGCTTCATTCCATTTCAAACTTTATCCATTCCAACAATTTCTCCAAGAGCTCTTTAAGTTGCTGCCAAATGTGATGTGCATCCCATGGTAGGAGTAACAAGGCGCATCTCTTTATCAATGGTATAAAACCAGCCAAGACCATGGCTTCAAAACCTTTGGAGTTGGCTCTCCTCCCTCCTTTTCCCAAACAATTATACAGAATTCTCAAAAGCCTCAATTTAAAAGTTATGAGACTACCCTAATACAAATCTTCTGGAATGCTATTTAGAATAGAAATGCTACTTATAATAATGTTTGTGGCTATTACTTTCTTTGAGCTATGTTTTGGGAGCTTCCAAATTTAATCAACTATTTAGGAAAAAGAATTTAAAACAAGGATATCAAATTTATTTTCCTTTATATTACCTTTTAAAGAAATCTGTTTTACAATTTTCCCAAGTCTCAACAAAAGAAAACTGGCACATGTTAGTAGACTTAAAAAGAAAAATCCTTTTGTTGCAACAGTTAAGGATCCATTTTGTGTTCAAGAAGCAGTTTCTCTTTAGTAAGGCTAACTGGTCCATATTGGATTTAAATTGGAATGACAATGACCAACTGCTCTGATCCCATACCAAAAGACAACATTTTAGAAACTCAGAGGTGATAAAATAATACACAAAATGTATCATTAACTTGAATGATAATCTTGGATTTAATCCTCTCTCATACTAGTTAATTCTATTTCAAAAGATTAACAAACTTTCTTCTTTGTTTTTGTGTTTTTTGTTTTTTAACAAGCATTTGTTAAATACTTACTATGGGCTGGGCACTGTATTAGGCTCTGGGGATACAAAGAAAAAATGAAACAGTAGCTGATTTTTAGCAGACTACTATGGAAAATACAACATTATTGGGCAAAGTGCTCTATAAATGCTACATGATAAGGGCAGAAGAAATGAAATCTAAATACATAGCTATGTTATTTGGTGAGGTCAATTATTTTTTCTTTTATCTTGGAAAAGTTAGACCTCATCATTTTGGTTTTCCTTTAATGAACTAAAGGACTCCTAAGACTCTTAAAAGGCATATTCCATACTATTTATGAGAGAGTTTAAAGAAAATATTTAGAAAAATAGCCATTCAGTTTATGCAGCTAAAATGGATAAAATGCAAGTTTAGTGTCTAAGCATTATGATGATTATTCTCCATGGTTTAAACTAATATTAAGAAAGAATATTAACTATTGAGGTCTTTTAGTGGTCCTGGACCCTTAATACTCCATACATCATGGCCGGCTGTTAACAAAAGGGGCTGCAAGTTTGATTTCTTTTTCTCCTTTGCAGAAGCAATGATTTAACTCGAGGGCAAAACAAGGCAAATATTCCTTTTTAATCCTACAAAAAGAGGAAGTGAAACTGATACAGAAGTCCTTAAAGGGAATAATGTTTAGCTGGGATTCACAGAATTCAGAGCTGTGATGAACTTTAGTGATCATCCAATCTAGCTTTATCATTTAACAGACGAGGAAACTGAGGCCCAGAAATCATTTGATAACTTGTTAATAGGTCAAAGGATAATAAGAGGCAGACAGGGTTCAAACCCAAATTCTCTTAATTCCAAATTTAGTATTCTCTCTATTAGACCATATGGTATTTTGTTACTCCCTTGCCCAACAAAAAATAAACAAAAAATATAAAAATACCAACTACCGTTAATGACTTCCTACATATATTTTTAAATTCTGTTCTAAAATACCAATTCACTAGTTCTTGGACTTGAGGAAGGAAAAATATTCTTTGGAGATAATTATGGTTATTTTTAATCTCCTTGTCTTTTTTTTTCCTTAGATGCTCCAGGTGCTACCCCAAATGCTGAGTGGGAAGGACATATTCGGGCTATTAAATGGAAAGATATGGAAGGAGTTGTTCATAATGGCTGCAAAGGTAATATTAAATGTCAAATTATACTTAAATATACAGTTATCTCTGAAAGATCATGGAGAACATCAAAGTGATATAGCAATAGAAAGAGGGCAAATATTCTGACTTTAAGTGGGAAAACTGCAGTGTCTATAACCTACAGACCAGTAAATTTGATTTCAAATTGCTACTAAAGTTCTAAAATACACTATTATAAGTCATTAAGAACAGGTCAAGTCAGACTAATTTCTTCTTCTGCTTCTCCATTTTTTTTTAACAAGGCAGAGACACTGGTAAGCCAGGAGAATGCTGTACATGTAAATTAGCTGGATTTTAGCAAAGTACTAGCCAAAGTTTCCCTGTGCTCCTCTCATGGGAGACATGTGAGAGAGATGGCAGAGTAGGTATGTGGATTCAGAACTGGCTGAATGGCTGCTCCCATTTCACCATGGGAAAAAGTTTGAGTTATTACCAATGAGAACTGTGTTCAAGTATCTGAAGTACTGTCATATAGAACAAAATATGATCAGGCCTCCTTTGCTAGGCTCCAGAAAGCCAATAGTGGATGCAGGTTACAAAATTAATAGATTCCAACTTGATAGAAACACTTCCTACAAATCAGAGTTGCTTTGGGAGTTGAGATTACCTCTCACGATAAATCTTCAAACAAAGGCTGCATATCCACTTTTCAAATGTGTTATGGAAGGGATTCTTGGGAAGGCATGTGTTATGCAAGGGAGTCTCTGAGATCCCTTGCAACCCTGAGGTTCTGTAATAATCTATAATATTCAAGTAGCATGAGAATAATAAAAGCACTGATTCTTAAATAGTACTGTTACACTTGCCAAGAATATCTAATAAATAAATTGAACATCATTTTATAAACTAGTGCTCAATATTTAGGATAGACATAATTTTGTTAACCTGTCTCTTCTAGTTCCCTTTATGTGTACTAATACTGCGGAGAAAAAGTAGAATATGATTTTAAAATTAGGTTTAAGGTGCAACATTGCTTAAATTTTGGTTCAAAAATTTTGGTTCAAAATGTTTAAGGTGCAAAATTCAAGTTCCCACCAAGAACATACTGAAGAGTATGTTTCTGTCCATTAAATGAATAGCCAGTGGCATTCTTAAGGAGGAAAAAAAGTTAAACTCATTTATTTATCTGAGTTTAAACATGTTAAAAAGACCTCAAAATGGATTGAAAAGAAAAAAAATTATTCCTGTCTTTCAAGGACTTTACTATATTTAGTTGGATGAACACATACAAATATAGGATATAATAAAATGAATTTCATTGTGTATGGGCTATTTAAGCAAGATGCCTGAGAGAGAAAATTCTACCCAACCAAGGACATCTATAGACCATTTATACACTAAGCATTTTTTAGAGTCAGTCATTTCTGACTATAATCAACCTCCTATCCATAGAAATGAAAGACAACATAATAATAACTCACATTTAGATAGCACCTTAAGATCTGCAGAACACTTTATAGACACTAGCTCACTTGATTCTCCCAACAACCCTGTGAACTACGTAGTGCTATTTACCATCCCCATTTTATATAACTGGGAAACAAGCTCTGAGACTCTGAGTGGCTTGTCCATCAATGTATGAGCATTCCCTACGTGATAAAGCAGGATTTGAATCTGGGTCTCCTGACTCCACACCTTGCACTCTTTCCATGACAGCGCACTGCCTTTCACCATGATGTAAATAGCCTATTTACTTATTCTTATGTTACACAGAGTTTGATTTGTATATGTTGAATCAGTTCTAAAGAATGAATTTGCAAATTCACAAGTTCAAATTCGGTGCTATTCTTCATTTGATTATGATACACTGGTCATGCAAATGAATCAGGTGCACCAGGCCAAGGAGCTGGAAGAAAGCCAGGCCTGTCTAAAACAAACAGGCTGTGGACTTAATAAGAATTTTAATCAAATGGGAACATGGTCTCATAATGAGGTGGATTTTTTCACTCACAATAATTTATGAAAACCATCTACATTAAGGCTTAGAGGGGTTGTGATCTTAATGGAGGAAGTGTATTTGCTGATGAAAATTGCTGATTTTTTGCAGTATTAGAGTAAGGAAAAAAATTATCTTTAAGCAGTAACATTCAATGGCCTGATCCTTTGACAGGTAAATGTTGAAGATGTAGGACTACTAAATTTATAGCTAGAAACTGAAGACTAGGTAAAGTAAGTGACTTGCCCAAGGTCACATAGGTAGAAAGTAACAAAGTGAGATTCTTTTGTAGATAGTTTATTAAGGTTTTATTCAATAGCTGCTCATGTGTACAATAAAAGAATACTTCAAGTATCTATAATTTCACTGGTCCAGGGACTCCCCTCCCTCAACACACATCACAATCCTCTATAACTTTAGTAGGTCATCTTTGAGAACTGCTTTTAACTAAAAAAAATTCATCAGCCTGAAGCCAACCTGGTGATGGTTGGTCACCATATAAGAGACATACAGTATATAAATGGCCAGTAATGCTTGGTGATGTGTTCATTGATAGTTTACCATTGGCTTAATACCAGAAGCCATGTATTCAACTGACACAGACTTTAAGAACCCAGGGTCACCTTCATGCCATGTGGGGGCATTAGGGAAGAGGCGTCAAAGTCAAATAGAAACTGGCAATATACATTATTTATTATATTTTAAAATTTATTTTGCTAATGTTTCCCAATTACATTTTAATCTGGTTTGGGCCACACTAGGGAATGTTGTGACCTGCACATGGTGTGAGTCTGATATCTCTACGCTAGAGGCTTTGGTGGAAGGCTCACATATCTACACAACATTTAACTATTTCCACTGCAGCTGTGTAGAATTATTGTGTTTACAAGAGTTTGAGGGACTTCAGTTTTATCAGGAGAGGTTGGAAACTAATACTTATACTAACCAGTTATTCCACTTATCATGTAACAGAAAAGATGGTATATAAAATTATAAACCATTGTTACTATTATTAGTAAGGTAATAGAAAGACAAAACTTGAATGTTTGAAATTTTATGACAAAATTATTTTTTCTTCCAAAAGTTAAACTTTTACTAGTAATATTCTGCTTAAAATCTGAAATACAAAAAAAATTATATTTTAACCACATATTTCTAAACATTGCTATTTAAACATGCATTCACATTCCAGTGAAACTTAATTCATTCAACAAACACTGTTTAAGCACCTACTAGGTGCAAGGCACTGTGTGAGGCTCTAGGGATAAAATGATAAAAATGAGCTACATATTTAAACATATCTAAACCCTCAGGAAACATCCTCTTCTGGGGAGGATATCACATGCACACAGGTAAGTATAACATAAGGTGTAGAATGATGGGCACAAAAGAGATTGCTCAACAAAATGCTCTACAAAAAATTTGAAGAGGAAGAGAATTATTTTCAGCTGCATGGGGCTGGGGGAGGAAAGTTTAGGGAAAACACTGGAGAAGTAGAGCCCTGAGCTGAGCCAGTAGGAAGAGGAGATGAGAACATGTATTAGGCATGGAGAATAATCTTCGTGAATAGTAGGAGGCTGGAGATTACAAATGCAGCTGAGAGGAATGACTGACAATACCGTTTGGTTGGAGTGTAGAGGGCATGAAGAACAAAACATGAAATAAGGTGGAAAAGATATCTGTATATGAAAAAGCTCTGGTCAAAATTTCATGAAAAATCTAAATGTAAGTATTTGACAAATCAATTTCCTTCATAAGCCCATTTACTTACATTTGTGCCCAAAACACAATGAAGTACGAATTACTAGTTTCTTGTGTTACCACGACACTATAATTTAGATGTAAAAAACCAATGCAACTTCACTATTATGCTTTAGGGCTTTAAGTCCTAATTTTTAAAAATTTTATTATGCATAATAAAATAGTTAAGTTCTCCATTGGAAAATCATCCCTTAAAAATTTAACATATTAGCCCATCTAGCCTAACCCAATAGAATACTACACCAAGGCCTTCAATCACCAAATAACTCTGCAGTGCCTTAGAGGAAGCAGTATTGGCTTGTCTTATTTTTGTAAACTCTCCCTCATTTTTTTTCTCCAATCCAGTTCCCTTGTGATTTTAGCCAGCCAAAGGATTCCACAGCATTCACCCATGGCAGCCATTAAACTTTATTCAAAAACTATAGTCAATGGGAATAATAACTTCCAATTAGCTATTTATAAGCCAAACTCTAAAAGCCCCTGCCGTCAAAGCTACTATGGAAACCTAAAGTAACCAGTTTAATTTCAATGCACAGCAAGCAAACCAACAAAATCACAGGTGATGTCCTATAACAGAAAGTTATTTTTACAGAACTAGAATTTTATTGTGTAAACAAAGGAAGCTGAGCTTATACTAACTATGGTTTTAATTTATCTTAACAGGACATTATGTTCGAGATATCTGTGTATATGGATTGGGAGACTTACAGTGGATTATTGAATCCCCTCACTTATTCGCCAACAAATTTGAGCTCACAACATATCCACTTGTGATGGAATGTTTAGAGAGAAGATACAGACTTAAAGTACTAAATCAGGCAGAGGTCCCTTTAGAATCACATTGGCATTTGCAAGAGACTTGCTATTTTAATATGAAAATAAATATTTGATCAGCAAATAATGCATACTGTCAAAGAATAAAGAGAAAAACTATCAAGCCTTCTAGTTCACTTTTTTATTTCTAGTAATCTGTTCCCTTGATTGAAAGTAAGGGAACACAGATCCAAATAAGAAGAAATAAGTACAAATACTGAAAATGTAGGATATCACTCCTTGATATAGTTTAGGCCTAAAACCACTAAAACTGAATAATGGATTTAGAAATGCAGAGTGTTACATGTTGAACCCTCATAAATTCAGAGAAAAAAGCAAAGGAAAAGCATAATACCATATTACTTATTGAAGAAATCCTCAAAGTTCAAATTGTTTTATATGATTCACTGAAAACTAAAATAACTCTTTAACATAGTTCTAGAATCACCAATTAATAAGCACTTACTAAGCATTTGCTATATGCTAAGCACTGGTAATACAAAGAATGTTCAAGAACCAATCGAAAGAGAATAAAGGCTACATAAAATGGGCAAATCACATTTCAAAATTCTGTACTATCTTACAGAAAGCTGTAAAGAAACAAATACACTTTATTTAAAGTAGTTTGTCTATAGTTACCCTTAATGGTGAAACAAGCAACCTTATTATAAGAATCCCAAGATATGATGAATACTGTTATTTTTCTGAAGTAAAAAGGAATCTATTGTGGTAAACAGTCATTAAACAGCTTGCCATTTATCTCAAGATTGTCAACTAACATTTTAATATCACTATATCATTCCCCAGGTCAATGATATGTATTTTTAACCAATGGCTATCAGCACCCTAACTTAGGAGATGTAAAGTTATAAAGTATCTTTCCTCCAAAAGAGTTCAAAGCACAACAGAACAAAAAATGTGAATGTATATGCATATATGTAATACAATAACATCACAATGAAAAATAATGAAGAAAGGAAATAAGACTAAATGGCATAAAAAGGAATGGCATCATAAAAAAATATATAAAATGTAAGCAAATTATGACAGCCCTCAAATTGGCAGAAGCATCCAAAATTGTGGCAGAAATACAGGAAATTTCCCTTGAAAGCAAGTAGTGGAAGAGAAAAAGGAATAATCTACCAAATGAAGAAAAACCAAGGTAACCTTAAAACACTACCTTTTGAAAACATTCCTCACAAGATATATGTAGTTTCAATGAATATTTAAGTATTGAAAGGTGTTTTAAAAGAAATTTTAAAAAATTAATTTGATTACAACTCTCCTAAAATTAACATATTGGAGATAACACTTTGTAAAAATTTTCTTCCGAGTCTTATTCAAATTTATTTGAGGTTGGCTGTCAATAAAGCTCAGATTCACCATAATGACATTCCTTGAGTTTTCAATTATAAAAATTTTTAAAACCATAAACCATTAAAAAGACAGCCTTTCCAGGTTAAATTAAGTTTAATTAAATTTGGGCAGGTGACAAGAACCTTCTCAGCAAAATTTTTAAAGGTTAGACAGTAAAGTACTGCTTAACTATTTCTAATTCCCTTTGATCACCTAGGTGAATTATGGTGGTAGGGGGTGGGTGAGGAAGGGGAATGATAGTATCTAGAATGGCAAGAACTGAGTCCTGACAGCCAAATAGGTAAAGGGATTAATTTCTAAGTTGGAAAAAAGAGATATGTTTGGTCTGAATGCTTTCAACTTGAAAATAGAAGACAAGAGGCAATGGACTTGGAAAATAGACTTTAAGTGGATAGCATAATAGATGAACAAACACCCCTTTTATACTTTCTGTGGTACAGAATACAAACAACTACCTTCTGTTATATACAGAAGTAGGGAAAGTGAATTTTAAAAGTGGAGAATGTTAGAGCAGAAAGGAAGCCTAAGAGATCTAATCCAACACCCAAGTTTTAGAGATGAGGAAATTAAGATCCAGAGAGGTTAAAGGTCATACTGCCTAAGGTTGTAACACGTTAGTAAGTAAAAATGGGATGGAAAAACCTGGTCTCCTAATATATACTACTGCCCTCACGTACTTCTCCCTGATCCCCAAAGAGTCTCAGCTGATAAGACTATTCCACTGAGGGCATACGTTGATACAAGACTACAAAAGACCTCTTCTCTTTAAAGAATGATATTCAGGCTACTAAAGAACTAGCAATTCTAGTTGCTAGTTAGAACATAGAAAAAAATAATTAAGTATTTTCTAAAGAGCATCAGCTATAAGTGAGGCAAGTGGGATTCATAAAGCTAATGAAAAAAATGAGCATTAGATGTTACTCAAGAGTATAATAAACACTATTAAAAAGATTCTGTACATTAGGTATTTTCAGAATTTTTTTTTACTGAAAAATGTTCTTCTATGGTTATCTGGGTGACATTGGTAGAAATGTAGGTTTTTATCTTGCTTTGAAAATACGTCATCATGGATTCATAGAAAACAGATGTGTCTTGTTCATCTTGTTACTGGAAAAAGCAAGACTGGAAAGAGTTAACAGATAGTATGGCTCTGGAAGTATTATTTAAAAGAATCTCAGACTCACAAAGACTGAAGCGAGCTGGTCATCATGCCCTTGGATGATAATATTCAGTACAGAACCTGGAAATTAGAATAAGCCATACATCCTGCAGTGAGGTTTCGTCTCTTCTCTTATTTAAAACACATGCACACACACCTAAGACCTGGCATCCATATGGTTGCGGTTTATTTGCTGTTTCTCCTAACAATGCATTCACCTATAAGCTGTTGTTATAGCAGGACTTTTGGTAATACAGAAGACATCACTTACTTTACAAATATTTTACTTTCCTAACCTAACCAGTCTGGAAAACTAGTTAAGTTTACTATTACTAAATACACCACTAATATAACATAGAACACTGCATTGTTTCTTGCTGTGCAACTTACATTCACCCCAATTTGTTTCTCATTACTACATGAGGCATAGAACACTGCGGGGAATACAATTAAATTTTCTTTTTAATATAAACAAATCATTAGCAAACAGAAAACCTAGCAACCACGTCTCTTAGGAACCCATTTTCTAAAACCAATGCTCATCCTATCTGCTTTAAACATGAAACCAGGACAGTTTCAAACACTGCAGCCATGTGTATTAAATTGGGTATTATCAAGATAATCAGTGGTAGAGGTAACAAAATAAAACGGCTCACTAACACTGTGTCAAAGATAAACATTGTAGCCTACGTGAGGCACATAGATGTAGTACTCACAAAGATTAAATCTTAGAAAAAAACCACAATGACTATTACATATTTATAGTTAATAGGAACAGGAGTGATGCATTTAAGTCTTCCCATTTCAGTGAATTTAAAATTTGGAAAGACCACAGAACTAGAAATTAGGCTTTTGGAACTAGAATTGGTATTATTTGAAAGAAAATACTGCTTAGATAAATTAATTTTCACTTTCATAGAAATAAAGAATTTCACAGGTGGAAAACTAGTCCAACTCCTTCATCTTACAGTTTAAGAAACTGAGGCCTAGGGAGGTTGGTTAAGTGGCCCAAAGTCAAACAGATAGTGGTGGAGACAAGATTAAATTTCACATTTCTTGACCTTTAGTCAAGGGCTTTTTCTACTCAACACCTTGTCATTTGCAAAATCTCATCAATTTATGAAAGTAATATAAAGATAATTATAAACTGTACTGTGACCAAAAGAACAAGAAATTATATCCAAAAGACACTTATTTTTTCAGACTTTTTCACTATTTTGAAATACTAAAGACCACAAGTGTTTAATATATCCTGCGGTCTTAAAAAATGTAAATTATTGAAAAGATTAAAAAATTAAAAAATCTTTATATCTAATCTGCTTTCTGACATAAATGCAAACAATTTTATAAATTAAGTATTTCTCTAAGATCTAACTGGAATAAATTAAAACCCATTCTTAGAGAAATGAATACTTAACCCCATTATAATCACTAGAGTAATATGTAAAATAAAAATCTGCAAAGATAGTTCTGCTAGATATTTCTCCCTATTTGTCTGTAAACTCTATAAAGAGATGCACTGAGTCTTATCTAAATTGTGTATCTTTCCCCCTACCAGGACCTAGCACTGTTCTAGGCACATAATAAGCATTTAAAAATATGTGTTAAATGAATGAACTCATGTGAAAAAGAAAGTCAACCAATGCAAAACAACAGTTTTATATCAATCTAAAATAAAAATAAGTATTTTCTGTAATGTGCCAACATACTATAGGCACTAGATACAGCAAGCACCAAACAGCACCAAAAAAATGAAACTGACTATATGTTAACAGACAGGGGCTGGTGACTGGCCGTTTCTATTATCAACAAATTTCCCTTCATCTTTAAGCCTCTTCCCTTTATGCCCCTTCCACCTTCTGGTGTTCAAGGAGAACCACCTCTGCACAGAAAGACACTGCATCTCTTGCCACCCTTCCCAATGCGGAGTGCACCTTCTCTCCTGCTCTCCTACAGGTCTGGGAGGGAGAATCAGCAATCTTTCTCCCCCCTTGCCACGCCCATATTCTCCCATCACTCAGCAACCTCTCCTTCTCACTCTATCCAGAAGTATCACTCAATCCAAATTCTGCTGCTATCAGTATCTGCCAGAGTCCAGGTCGTGTTCTTTTCTTTCTCAAGGAGTTCAGCATCAGGCTCGTAGTCTCCCCATCCACTCCAACCACTCCCCTTGGACAAGGGCACTTCAAATACATGTTGATGTTCCCTCAAACACTGTGGCATCCTGTTTCTTTAATCTTCTCAATTCCTATCACCTATTTCTTCACTATTTCAGCCAAAAACAAAGACTGTCATACTACTGATCTCACCATCATCCAAAAGTGTTCCACTTTCACGATTAAAAGGAAAGATGGAAGGAAGTAACAAGCACTGAGCACTTACAATGTGCTAGGCATTGTGCTAAACCTTGGGAATACAAATACAGGCAAAAAAAAGACAGTCTGTTTGTGATGAACTTACATTCTAATGGGGAAAGAAAACAAACAAAACACCCAGCACAGGCATATGGTTTAGAGTCCAGAAGCCAAGAACAGGGTTGGGAGGGGACTAAAAGCCCCCTCCAAAAAATGGAGGATTCAGGAGCAACA